TCCACTGATGCATGGTGATACTACAGGAGCCTAAAGTATGCATGAAAATGATGATATTTTCATACTCTGTTGAAGTTTTTCACAAACTGAGAGATTACCTTTCTGGGATGATAGCCTGGAAGTTATGTAGAAAGAACCATGTACATTTGCTAATGTAGTATAACTCTTTCAAGACAGTTGTGCAGTTTCAGCTGTTATTCCCACATGAGCTGCCACGTAACAAATGTGCCTCTTTGGTGATTTCAGCTTGCAGGATGACACAGATGAGCAAGTAGGGTGCTGCATAAACAATCTCTTTTGTCGAGAGAGGTAGGGCACACACACCAATGCGCCTTAGTTTCTTCTTCATTTCTTTGATAGATACAAACAATGGAAAATTACAGCTATTATACTTAGTGGTCTTGGCTGTTTATTGCCTTCAGAGAGAAAGAAAAATAGTTGAGAGTGGTGGGAGCCCATTATGAGGATAGATGGCTCAGAAGTTAATCTGATTTCAGGAAAGCTTGCAAGCCTGTTTTATTCAAACTGTAAGTTGGTAACTTTCCCTGTGATCTAGTCATTTGTTTGTGTACCTGAGTGCCGCTTGCTTGCTGAAGTGGTAACTTTGTGCTCTTCTTTGTACATATGGATTCCAAATATTAAATAGTGATATATTAGAAGAAGGGCAAGTTGGCGCATTGGAGGACTGACTTGGTGTCAGGAACTGAACTACATTACGACAGCATTCCTCTCTGGGAGCTTTATGGCTGAGAGAGAGAGACAGGTAGAGAGTGTTCATGTGTGTCTGTCCAGCCTACCATTTCTCTTCTGAAATTGTTTCTTCTGTGTATGACTTCAAAGTAAGCAAGCCAGCATTTTGCCCTTCAAACTGAAAATAAGTAGGTGTAACTGGGCTAATGGCAGCTAAGTCTCGACTTGGTGTTGGCCACTCTGGGGATCATGGGAGTTGTAGTTTGTCACATCTGCAGGGTGCAAGGTTTGGGAATGCAGGGTGGTTGCTGAGCTGTACCACTTTGGAAGAGGCAGACTGAATTCCCTTTAGATACTCCATGCAGATCATTCCTTGGGAAGCAGGCCCATTACTTATTTTCGTTTCTGCTGAACTACAAGTAGTACATCAAAAGGTCACTCATCTGGCTCAATTACCTCTCTGCGGTAGGCCTCAGCAATATCAGACCTACATGTATAAATGGACTATTCCTTTTGAGATTTTCCATTAATGTTCAAAGAGTAGAGCCCATTCTGTCACGCCACTTGAAATCCAGCAGAGCTATTAAATGTACACAAAAATCAGTTAAGCATTTCAAGTAACTTGCCATTAAACCTTTGTTTAGAAACACCAAGAAAAGGGTGGGGGTATGCCTTTTGTCTGAATCACACTCCTTTTGCCATTTGAATCACAGAGGATGCCCCTGGCAGGCTGCTAAAAAGTTTCTGGTTTTGCTAACTCCACATGCAAAGTCAGGAACACTGTTTTTATTGTATGCTTTGCTGCTGTTTTTTTTAAAATTGGGATTTGTTTTTATCTTATTCTGTATGGTACTGATTTCATGTTTGCCAAATGTTTATGTACATTTATAAAAAGAAATATATGTTTATGTGGGTATGAATGAATAAATAAGTAAATAAATACAACAAACATGGAAAAGACCCTTACCATATGTGCAGTGAATGCCAACCGCAGTGTGGGTGGGACTTGCTTCCCAAGGTAAATAGAGTTGTGTGAATCAGTTACATTGCTACTTTTCTTGTTTGCAGTGTTGGCTCAACTAGTAGCTTCAATTCTCTAGTGACAGTATCATTTGTTTAGCCAGTTAAATTATTGTGGCACACATGGGCACATTTAGAAACCTTATTTAAACAGATGGTTGCTATAACTTCAAAAGCCACCTTGTGTCTCAGCAGGAAGAACTGACTAATAGACTGGACTAAGAGAACTTTTGGATGTGTCAGACAAGTGTTGTCAGTTTCTTGAAAACAAGTAGACACAGAGTGGTATCAAAGCTGTATTTGCATTTCATGTGCACCTTTAAAAAGATGCAAATAGCAGCTGTGAACACAGCTAAGGACACAGGGACTGAAAATTATCAGAATGGCAGCAAACACAAAAGAGGGTTTATTGCTTTCTTTCCCTGCTATGGTCTAATCAAAATCTCTGTTCCAGCGTGAGCTTTTCTCCCATTACATAGAGCCATTTCTGAGTATACACAGGGCAGAGATAAATATACCATCTTGTCTGTTGTGGTTATAATAGTTATCAGATATGAATGTAAAGCAAAGATGCATTTCCCTTCATATCTTATTTGGTCTTTAGCTTTTAAGTGGTAGAAGATGGCATGGTTCACATGTAAGAACAACCAAAAGACTGGTTCAGACAGCATGACAAGCCAGAGTATGGGCTGAGTATGAGTTGATTGTGGGTTGTTGCTGAACCATGGGTGGTTCAGTTGTATGAGCTAAACCATATTAATAAATTTTGATTTTTAACCAATGTGCATTGTTGTTGAATCGTGGAGGGATGTTGAATCATAAGTTTATGATTATATGTAAATAATGTACCATAGTTTAACTATGAGTTGCTAACCACAGACAACTCTGCACTTTCAACCTAACAAACTGTCTCTTTTTTCCAGGCACATGATAATATAACACTGTGCATTCTATATAAGTAGACATTATGGAGAACAAAGAGGGAGGGAAGCTTTTTAAAGCAGTAGCCACACTTCCTCTGTAAAATCTAAAGTCTTCTGCAGCCCCAATTTGTAAGGATATATACTTCATTGTAAAATATAATTAATCATAGAATAGTATAGTTGGGAGGGGCCATGGGGTCCAACCCTCTGCTCAGTGCAGGACTCCAAGTTAAACCATCCCTCTCAAATGGCTGCCCAGTTGTATCTTGAAGGCCTCTAGTGTGGGAGAGCCTCACCCTCCCAAGGTCATTGGTTCCATTGCTGTACAGTTCTAACAGTCAGGACATTTTTCCAGGTGTTTAACTGGAATCTGTCTTTCTGTAACTTGAGCACTTTGGGATGATTGGGTTGAGATCCTGTTCTTTTTCTTTGTGACAGCTTTTCAAGTACTTGTAGAGTGCTATTATATCTCCCCTTAGTCGTCTTCTTGAGGCTAAATAGGCCCAGTTCTTTCAATCTCTCCTTGTAGGGCTTTGTTTTGATTATCCTTGTTGCCCTTGTTTGAACCATTTCCAGCTTGTCTGCATCTTTCTTATATTGTGGTGCCCATAACAGGACATAGCGCTCCAGATGAGACCTAACGAGTGCTGCGTAAAGGAGAAGTAGTACTTCACGGGATCTGGAAGTGATAATGCAAGCTAAATAGTAATTGTCCTTTTTGCAACCACATCTCATTGTTGACTCATATTCAGCTTGTGATCTACAATTCCAAGATCCTTCTGTCTTGCAGTATTGTTGAGCCAAGTATTTCTCATCTTGTACGGATGCACTTGGTTTCTTTTTCCTAGGTGGAGAACTTGGCATTTGTCCCTACTAAATTTCATTCTCTTGTTTTCAGCCCAGCACTTCAGCTTATCAAAATCACCCTGGACCTTCATTCTGTCTTTTAGGGTATTTGCTGTTCCACCCAGTTTTGTGTCATCTGCAGATTTGATAATTGTTTCCTGCACTTCCTCATCCAAATAATAAAAATGTTGAAGAGGCCTGGGCCTGAACTCTGCGATACCCTATGTTACCCCTCCTCTGAGAAGGAAGAGTGCCATTGATGAGCAGTCTTTGATTCTGATTCTGTAGCCAATTGTGGAGCCTTCTGATAGGTGTTCCATCTAGCCCACTGTTAGCTAGTTTGCTAATCAGGATATTATAGGGCACTTTGTCAAAAGCTTTGCTGAAGTCAACATATATGATGTCCACAGCATTCCCACAGTCCATCAGGGAGATTATCCAATCAAAAAATGAAATCCGTTTAATCTAACAAGATTTGATCTTGAGAAATCCATGTTGGTTTGTAGTAATCACTGCATTGTTTTCAAGATCAGACTGACTGCTTTATAGTCTGCTTCAGAATTTTCCCAGGGATTGATGTCGAACTGACTGGTCAGTAGTTCCCAGGTTCTTCTACTTTTCCTTCCTTGAAGATAGGGACAACACTAGCCCTTCTCCAGTCATCTGGCACTTCCCGTCTCCTCCATGATTTCCCAAGATAGGAGACAGTGGTTCTGAGAATTCTTCTACCAGCTCCTTCATGACTCTAGGATAGAGTTCATTCAGCCCTAATTTTTACCAGGGTTGTTTTGTATATTATTCACAGAAAGGCAGTATTTGAATATGGATTGCACAGTGCAGAAAGGACATATTGATAGTATTATCTATGCACTATTTCTTACATGTATGCATGCACGCACGTACTCTTTTACAAATTGGAATGTTGTGTTCAGGATATAGTAACTTGCCTGTGAGGCAACATAGTTAGTCTGCAGTTGATTAAGTGCTTGTATCCAGATCTGTCAAGTGTAAATCTAGTAGATTTCCTGTTCAGCTCTCATGAACTCATCTCAGTGATGGAACTATATATGCAAAATGATAATTAGAATCAGGAGAGGCTGCTGCATCTGGTATCATATAAACCAGTGATTTGAATGTACAGAGTACCCAAAAGCCAAAGAAGTTGTGTATAGATGCATTATGGATCTATGCTATTGTATAGCTTGTCTTCCTGAAACAGTTCACAAACCTGTTGGTGCAGTAGTGAGATAATATCCTTATTTCATTTTGGTTGCTACATTTGGCTTCATAGCTCACAAATCATTAAGATGAAGCATCTGTTCTGTACGTGTAAGTAAACATCGGTTAATGGGACTTGCTGTAAGATAAGCGTCAATAGGCTTAAATGGATTTCAAAAGAACCTTTCGTATGTCTATGCAGAAGTTACAATCCGTTCAGTGGGATTTTCTCAAAAGAAATACATACAGGTAGGATTGCGGCTTTAAGCATTAACTTTATATTTTTATATTTTCTTCAATCAGGTGGTTGGAGTGGCGCAAGCAATCAATAAGAAGTCTGGTGGTGGAGGAACATTTACTGAGCAAGATGAAAAGGTATAAATACACTAAATTTTATTTTTATTGATGTTAAAGCTTCTTCGGGTCCCCTTCCCATCTCTGTTGCAGCAAGAGCTACAAGAGAAAGAGCCTGCTTGGTGGTGGCACTGCAACTCTGGGCTGTTTTCCCATGGAGGTTTACCTGGTGCCAACCCTTATGTCATTTCAATACCAGGCAAAGTCCTTTGTATTCTCCTTTTTAAGCTTCTATACATTACTTTTGTGCTCCAATTCTAAGGCTGTTTTCCTTCTGTTTGTTTATAGAGAGGTGTTTTAAATGTTCTTGCTATAATTTGACTGCAATTGTAACTTCTTACAAGCTACCATGAGAACTTATTCAATACATCAATAAGGATATACATCAAATCAGTGAAAAGCGATACTGGACTTTGTTAATCTTTCCTCAGGTGACCATGGACATTGCAGAAGTGAAATATTTCACGATTGGCATCAATGTGGAATTAAATGGCTGCTGTTTCAAAATGTTCATACGTATTTAAAATATTCTATGTACCTATTGCATATTTTCTCTAAACTTGCTAAACATGCATAAGATTGCACCTCTGGTCTAGCACAGTTTATTCTGACTTTTCAAGATTTCAGCCAGAGAAACTACTTGCAATCTTTTAAGCGGAGATAATGGGATTTTAACCTGGCATTTTATGCACAAAAAGCATGTAGTCTACTACTAAGCTGGTTTCTCTGTTAAATCCATCATGTTTCCATTCATCATAATCATGTTATTTATATGTACCAAAGACTAATTAATATAAAACAAGGACTGACAAATAATATTAAGTGCTCTTGAGGCTGAATACTAAGGGCCAAACTTACTTTCCTGAAAGTGTGCCCAGCCCTAATTCAAATAAGGACTGTGGTGCTTTGAGAGAAGGTTTAATCTTTCGTCCCTTTCCCTCCCTTCCTTTTTTTTTTCCTACATCCAGCCTCCACGGGGAAGGAGAATTTTTTTTTAAAAATATCCCCATTGCAAACAATGGAGACATTTAGGAATGTGATAGAAATTTGGGTTGAAAATTAAGGAGTATGAACCTTAAAGCCTCCCCTCCTAAAGTGCCGTAGAGTTAATCTGAATTAGAGCCATAAATGTTTGCAGGATAGTAGGAGAGACAACTGCACATAGGTCAGCTATCTGTAGGAATATCTCAGTACAAAATTACTATTGAACTATTATTTTCAAAATAGAGGTTTAATAAGTTTATATTCTTGTGGTCTCTGTACGTCACACATGTGGGCTTTGGCACCAGTGCAAGGCCTAGATTGGAAAGAAACTTCTACAGCTTAATGTCACAGAGAGGGCAACAATATAAGAACTTCCGCCCAGTTCCACAGTATGCTGACCCACAGGACCCATTGTCTCTGCCAATTCTGCTTTGGCGGGGGACATGTGGTCAAGGCTTGGCCACACTGCTAGGCCTTCAAAAACAGATGCTCCAGCAGCAGGCCAGCTGCTTGAAATCAGCCCTCTGGCAGTGGGCTCTCTGTGTGGCCAACTCTTCCAAGCCAGACATGAAGAGACCCTTGGCCCTGTGGGCAGCAGGACCATGAAGCCAGGAAAGAGGCTGAGGAAAATGGCTGCTGCCTCGACCAAAGAGAGCACGTCAGCCATCCTCCTAGCTGGTATTTCACCGCTTGATACTGCAGAGCCCTCACGTGGTCTACACCATCAGCCTTCATCCGGCACCACCAACTCGGTCTTCAGTAGGGCAGTCTTCTCATCAGTTCTCCAGTGATGCCAGTCTTTCCATCCTGCGAAGGGTAAACTTGCCAATCACCCACGTGTGATGCACAAAGGCCATAAGAAGAAAGACACGTTGCTTACCTGTAACTGTTCTTCGAGTGGTCATCTGTGCATTCACACAACCCACTCTCCACCCCAGTGACTGTTGTCAGCCTGCTGCCCCCTCCTCTGGGGTGCAGATGCTGGGTGGAGGGGGGTGCACCATCACTTCTACATCTCTGCCCCTTGGCCACCTGGAGATGATGCAGTCTCCAGGGCAACTGAGGGACTGGATGGGAGGCCACCATTCTTATAACTAGGAACTGAAAGGGGCAGAGGGCTCCTGCTCAATCCATGTTGCTAAGCTGTAGAAATTTCTTTCCAATCTAGGCCTTGCACTGGTGTTAAAACCGACATGTGTGAAAGCACAAATGACCACTCAAAAATCACAGTTACAGGCAAGCAACTTGCCTTTTTGTGCAAACATCATATAACCCAATTCTGGAAAGAAAGAATATGCTGGATAATGGAAGTGGGAACAAATCATAGGGCAGTATCTGATGTACTGCCAACGTAATTACTTTGTGCTAGTGTAAATGACCTGTAGCATAATGTCATTCGTGCTTGCTGGCACACGTGTCCTCAGAAGACCCATCAGGCCAGCAAGCACTGGTGGCATTGTGGTAGAAGTTCTTTCCACCAGTGCAACATAATGTGCATTTGTAGTAACATAGCAGTGGAAACTGCCCATAGTTAGAGTGTACTGGATTAATTTAGAAGTGCCTCAGGTGGAGTGATTTGAAATGGTCATGTTTAGCAGCTTGTCTGAAAGCTGTGCTACTTCATAAGTAGTCCTGTGGTATACCAAATATTGCTGAACCCAAGCCAGAAATGCTGACAAACTTTGGCAATAACAAAGTCGGAATTCATTCATCCCTTCTAAATGGAACATGTGATGAACATCTGCAGGACATCAAAATCAATGCATGTTCTAAACAGTAAAGGCTTATAGTTCTGCTACCTGCCAGATTCACTTCCTACTTTTCCTGTTCTCTAATAGGTGGCTATACCATGTGTTCTGTATTTAAGACTGACAGTTTGGGTGTGTGTGTGGTTCCCTAGAATTACTTAATACAGGAAACTTTTATCATGACAAAACAGGTATGAGTATTACATAGGCTTTGCTCAAGAATGCACTGATTCATAAATAAATACTTTGATGTCAGTGACACTTCTTCTTAAGTAAGCTGTGGTTAGAAGTGGGGCTGCTGTTTCCAAAACAAATGCAAGAATTCTGGTAACTGCTGACTAGTAGGGCAGTTTTATGCACGTTTGTCAAACAATAATTTCAGCCACCCTTTAATAGCATCTGAAGATCATTTTTATTATTCCTTGGGGAAGTGGATTCTTGATTTTACTTTGTTTGCCTTGGATCAAGTGGTGAAGGAACTATGTAAGACACTGTACACTTAATATTGCACATAAGGCATGTCATTGTCTTTTTTTGTATTTGCAAGAATTGGCCACAAAACTTTACCACTGCAGAATGGGCCATAAGTAGAATTGGATATTTTAAGATAGTATATAAACAGTAGTCACTGCTATTAAAACAGGATGCTTGGGAACAGAAAATAATAAGCTCCTTCTAGTTCATCAAGCCTAAATAATTGGGCTTCTACTGAAAGCCAGAAGTACTTTTCAGGGTGTGAATACTTGTAGCTGGGAGTTGATTCTGAGCTCTGTACACTTTGTCCCTACTGTGTGGTAACTGGCAGATAGAGATGACGCATGGGAGATAGCACAAAAATAGTCCTACATTAATGAGGTTTGCCAAAATGCGGAAGCGTATGGCACTTTGAGAATCAATTGGAACTCTTGCTGACATGCCAGTTAGCCTAGATAATACAGGATTTAGGACAAACCTGATAATTTTCCAGAGCACACCTGCTTCCTCCACTGCAAAAATGCAGCCCAATATATACTTATATACACTGCAATTTCTAGCCATTAGTTGACTAGACCCTTATGTTCTTGAACTCTAGTGGCCAGCTCAAATAACTTTCAGTATCTGGTTTTCAGGATTTTGCTGCATATCTAGCCTTTTGTGGAATTGTTCTACACAATGCTCAGCTGTATGAGACCTCCCAGCTCGAAAACAGACGCAATCAGGTGAGCACTCATCTGTGTGAAAATGGAATGTATGACTACTGCATCATAAAAGCTTCCTTTGACTCAGCCACCTGATTTCTCCAGAACCTCAGATTATGTCCAATGTGTGTTGTGGAGTAGCTCAGCTATGGGATTCACTTAGTGCCATAAGTGGCAGCTGGACTGAGTTGACCTGGCAGTGGGCAGTGTCTTTCCTGCACTGGACTGTACCCTAAAGAAAACTTGGGACTGTGGATGAAGAAGTGGGAGGCGAGGCGAGGAGAAGAGAGGAGGGGAGGTGGCCAAAGTTAAAGAGACAGCACAAGCTGGTAAAACTGGATGAGCAACCTGGTGTTTGTCCTGAATTCTGATTAGGCTTTGTGTTTATCCCTTTGTGTTTGCTAACGCTCAAAAGGAATGCTTAGAAGATCTGATTCTTGTAATTCTTCCTGTAATTGGGAAGGGGCTGGGCTGTAAGAGATTGGTATAGACTTGAGTATGAGCAGACTCAAAGGGGAGACCTGTTCCAGCTGCCTTGATTCAACTGACAAGAACTGGAGTGAATTCTTGTTCCACCCTTCCTAGTGGCAGTAGCACTGTCTCCTCACTTTCATTCCTTCCTGATCGACTGTCTGAAGGAGGAATGCCTGGTACCAGCACTGCTCTTTTCAGTGCCAGGTTAAAATCACGTTATTTTCCAGGAAATTTAAGCTATTGTATTTTCAACTGGGGGTAGAGTTAACTTTAACTTTTTCCTCTAATCGTGTTTTTGCTGAATGTTTCAGGTTGTTTTTGATTGTATTGTAGATCTCAGTATACATAAATGCTTTGAAATTGATTTTTGGATGAAAGCATGGTTTATAAATTCTGAAAAAAAATAAAAACTAAAACACAGATCTATAACTCAAGCAGTTTTTTTTTAGATTTGTAACCCATTCTATTCAGTCTCATAAAAACATAATGCTGCATTTCTTTAGATTTAAAAAAAACGGTGCTGGCTGCACGTTTGAAAGCATTTCATGTCCAGATAGAAAAGTCTTGCAGTACATTCACAGGGAACTGAGATCTCTTTCCCAGGCCTGGTACTGGAGACGCCTTGAACTGGAGACACCAGACAGCTCCTGCAAGGAGGGCATGTGTATTTCTAGTGATCTGTAAGCACTCTTTAGTTATTGAAGTGGAAATGAAGAAGCAGGTAAAAAATTTTGTGGCACCATTTAAATTATTTATTGTGCTTTATTTTAGTTTAACAGGAGCACATCAATGAGAATTATCAAAGAAAAAAAGCCCATTTATTTATTTAAAAAAAATTGTAGGCCCTCCATTACTGTTGTCTCTGGTAATGTTCAGTAATAACTTTTAGCTGAAATAATGATGATAATTTTGGAAATACAACTGGCTACAACTAAGTTTCTGTGACGATACCACAACATTTTCCATTTTGTATTTGACCTTCATCTACCCTTCATATTAATCAGTACGCATTTATGAAATTAAGGCAGGGGTGCCCAACTTGAGATCCTCCAGATATTTTGGCCTACAACTCCCACCATTCTTGATCAATTTCTATGAAGACTTGGCCCATTGCAAGTTGTAGGCTACAATATTTGAAGGGCTACAGGTTGCTCTGACTTGGACTAAATGGTTAGGGGTGGCTTACTAGAAGAAAGAAGAGCGTACCTCTGTTACATTCAGTGAGTGAAAGGGTTCCTTCCCAGGGGAAGATTGTTCTGTACATCTTCTGGGACACAGAAAAGTCTGCAGCTGTGAAACTTTGACAAATCTGTGAGCAAGGGATGCTGTGAAGTGTAGTTTTTCAAATTTCCCAGGAGGCTTTGTGGTAACATCAGGCTGATACAGTGAACCATAGCATGCCATACCATACCATGCAACTAATCCCCATGCACATCTCCATTTAAAAAATCAAGCTGCATAATTGAGACTTCATAGTATCTTGATAGCTTCAGAAGTTGGGTATGCTGAAATAGTTTTCTCTGTCTGCAGGTTCTTCTTGATCTTGCCAGCTTAATATTCGAAGAGCAGCAATCCTTGGAAGTCATTTTGAAGAAGATAGCTGCCACCATAATCTCTTTCATGCAAGTGCAGAAGTGCACCATTTTTATAGTCGACGAAGACTGTTCTGTAAGTACAGATCCTGATTTACTTTCAAGAAAATAAAGTTTGCCTACATCTGTTAGAGCTTTTGCAGAGCTTGGAGCCAATTCTCTGCTTCTCATCATTAGTGCTGGACCATACTGGAAACCTACTTTTTGCAGTTGCATACAGTGAAGGAATGGAGAGACTGCAAAGATGCTGTGCACCTGGTGTTGTTTTTTCAAGTACTAATATGCTACCATAACCATGTTCTAAAACTGGCTTAGAGCAAAGTCAGAGGCAGGGTAATACTTAGTAAAAATATGGTTTGAAAACCACATAAAAGCCAAAAGCGAGAAGGAGTGCTTACATCCATATATGCCCAGTCGCCCCCTGAGATTGGCGGGAGAGGCCCTTCTCTGGGAGCCCTCCATGAGAGAAATTAGGAGGGTGGCTACTCAGAGGAGGGCTTTCTCAGCGGTGGCGCCTAAGTTATGGAATGCGCTCCCCATAGAGGTCCGCCTGGCGCCGTCGTTATTTGTTTTTCGGCGCCAGGCAAAGACCTTTTTATTTAAGCAACATTTTAAATGTTAATACTACTGAATTTTATCTGGCCAGGGCGGCTTATTTTATATTGTGTGTATATTGTATTTTAAATTATTATTACTATTCTAATATGTATATTTTAATTTATGTGGTTTTATTTATTGTTGTAAGCCGCCCCGAGGCTTTGGTGAATGGGGCGGCATAAAAATGTTTTAATAAATAA